AGAAAAAAACACTGATTCTCTTCACTTCAGTGTATTATGAATAATGCTGCTGTTATTGAACTTCTCAATGGCTTTTGTCAAACATGTTTACCCAACACTTGCCCTTAGGGCTTATGGCTGCTCTAATGAGGGCCAGAAATCCAAATTGGTTTGTCGGTGTATTGTTGGGTCTAGTTAAAGGACAGCTGGAATTGAAAGTGATCAGAGCAAGAGAATGGCACAGGTACAAAATGGATCTCCAGAGTGGGTCCAAAGCTTTTTTTCAGTGGTTACATCATTAAAAGAGAAGCAAAATTTCAGAGCCTTGCAGGACCCCTTCATTAGGTGTGTGACATCAAAGGGGTCCTGCAAGGCTCTGAAACATTGCTTCTGTTTTAATGATGTAACCACTGAAAAAAAGCTTTGGACCCACTCTGGAGATCCATGGTGTGCTAGTGACATTCTCTTGCTCAGTTAAAGGATAGGTCACTACTGGGAATGTTAGGAGAACCTACCTGCAGCTACCTGAATCTCCATTGTGGGTAGTGTTACTATAGCATTCTGAAAATGGCAACTATTGTGCTACTGTAATAATTTTAAATTGCAACTGTGTGAATTGTCAACATTTTCTATTTTATGCACATTGGGAAGTTACATTTCAGAGGATAGACCCCCTGTTCGGGTCTGGTAGTTAGATATTTAATTAGTTTGATTTCTTTATTATGTAATTACATTTATATGATTCAATCTATAAAGGGCCCTATGCTAGCTATTCAGAAATCTGGGTCTGATTAATAACCAAGTCTTACACTCCATGCAATACATAGCTGTCAAAATGCCAAAATAAACTTTGGAAAACATCAAGATAACATTACTTTTAACATCAACGTTTACCAATAAATGTTCATACTTTTTAAAATTGTATTGAGAAAATTAGGCTTTTTTAAAAGATTTCACATAATTATTGTTTCCTTTCCCTGGATCATATTTTTCTAAGTTTCTTTTTTAACTTTTCAAATTAGTTTATTTTTTCAGGAATAAAGTATATTGTCTAATTTGTCATTTTGAATCAGATTTGTGCTAACTGCACTTTGTTACATAATCCTTACTTGAATGGAAACACAGTCAAGCTATGCTTTTGCCACTGTCAATCAAACCATTATAAGTATACAATTTGTAGAATTTCTGCATGGCATACAAGGAATCTGCTAACTATCATATTACGATCAAGCATAACTCTTAGAAATGGGATTTTGCTACACAGTGCAGCAGGCATGGCAAACATGGTTGCCCGTGGCTGTTTCTCTGCTATCCTCTAACATTTTAAAAATTAATACCCAGACTTCCTTGTATAATTTTGTTGCTGTATACTCAGTAGCATCACTGAAAAAATACAATAGTAAATATTTTACTTTTACATACAAGGTCTATAAAGATGAGGACTCAAATAATAATTATCTTTTACTAATCCTTTAAAAAGCCCTGTTTAAAAATTTTTCTACATAACCAAGAAAATGAAAACTAATTGCACCATAAAGGTAAATTGGTGAACTGGACCTAAATGATGGAGTATGAGTCAGTTTTAGGATAATTTAATGATTTAGATATACTAATTTTCTTTGCAAGGTAGCTAATCAGCTTCTAACTTCAGCTTGTTCAGTTAAGCTTTAAAAGCTGGAAGCTGATTGGTTTCTATGCAGAGCTGCACCAGATTTTGCATTCTCTAGCTCTAGAAAATTAACCCCATTGTGTTGAACACTAGAGTACATTTTATATTAACCTCCCTGGCGGTATTCCCGAGTGTAGCTCGGGGTAGAGTTTTAGTACCAAAAGCGGTAACCCCGAGCTACATCGGGCTTACCATGCGGCGTTGCTCAGGGAGTCCCTGCAGAGCTTACCTTGTCCTTCGCTCCCACGATGTGTCCTCTGCAGCGTCCCCGGCCATCTCCTCCGGCTGATGCCGGCATCCGGCTTCTGTGTTCCGGTCCCCGTGACGTCGGGACGTACGGGCGGCGGCGGCGGCGGCGGGAAATTTGAAAATTTTAAAAAATGTCATTTTTTTCAAAACACATTTTTCACAGTAAAACATTGCTGTTTCAACCCATTTCACATACATATTGTCCCTAGTGCTTTGTCCTGTCCCCTGTCTGCATTTTGTCTGTCTTTCTGCATGGAAACTTAGAAAATCCATGGCGTCCAAAAAGTGTCCCTTTAGGTCAAAAGCGGTTTTAGATCAGCTAGAGAACAGCGATAGTAAATCAGAACCACTTGCAGAATTGAGTGATAATGATTTGTGGGGAAATTCGTCATCAGACACTGAAAACGATTTTGCGACTTTGCTCAGCAATGTACAAACTTGGCGCTCTATTTCAAATTTCAGTGTTTTCGGTTTGATTATATTATTGAATTAAATGTATTATTATTATTATATTATTATTTTTTATGATTATTTATTAAATTATAATTTATGATTTCGTGTTTCAAATTTTATCATACCCGGGATGTTTACTAGACTCTTGTTCGGACAGATTTCAGTGAGTTATTCCTAAAAATTACAGCCTACAATAAAAAAAACTACATATTTCCATGCAAAATAATGGTACCGCTTTCAGCACCAAAAATCTGAAATAATCATACCGCCAGGGAGGTTAACCTAAAGCAGAGCTTACAATGAAATGGCCCTACAGCATACTGTGCTCAATCCAAGGAAGAATAAAGTGTAAAATATAAATGTAACCCAAATCATCCAATCAAATTTCACATGGCTGCAGCCAAAAGAATGAATTGGTAAAATCGAATTAGTTGCCAGTGCTGCAGCTTACTGTTGTTTATTCATTATGATTTCTTTCTGAGTAATCAGGGATATGGAGCAGAAAGACTCCACTGAACAGAGCAGAAAGACTCCACTGAACAGAGTTGGAAAACTATGGTCTGTAGAGCTAAAAACTTAAAATGAGGTCATTCCAGAATGTCAGGTTACCAGCAGATTTGATGCAATGTGTTGGAAGGCTGATGTGACCAAGCAATGTCTGTGGGGGTGGGGGGAGGTGTAATGTATAAGCAAGCGGACTGCATCTACTATGTGCTTGCTCCTTTTGCTCTAGATTGACAAATGTAGACTCAATCACAAAACGTTTCACATAAGTTAAACATTTTAACATAATTTTCAGTTTTTTAAATCTATATCTTTCATTTAAATAATACCCGGTTATCCTGTCATGAAACTTCTTGTACAAAACTTCTTGATATGGGGTTAACAACGCTTTGTTCCTGTCTCCCACTTGCTCTCCTCCATTGTCACCATATCACCAGAGCTTCTGGTAGAAACAGGTGATTACTTACAGACCTCTCTTTTTTTGGGATGTTCCCTGTGAAGCCGCATTAAATTTGTAATAAATTGATAGTGTAAGTGTAATCCACAGATAATGCCAGTTTCTCTTTATCTGCTTTTATGCTTATAAAAGAAAGAAATGTGGTCAAATAAGGAGATGTAATGCAATCCACCACACTGGATCAGAGTCTATGCTTTCTCTACAAGTCCAGCCTGACTATGGCTACAATAGTAAAGCCATTTTCCCTTAGCAAAACTTTTCTAAAACTTTTTGAAGATAGGCACTCCTAGCTAAAGCTGATCTCAGCAAAATGTTTAGTTTGAAAGAAAGTTGAGAAGGGTTACATGCTTTTTTAGAGTCTATCTGTGGTCTATGCCCCTGTTGCTCTATCAACTTTCCCGCTGAGACAGAAAGTGAGTGGAAATGCAACCATTAGTAGTTGTCACTGGTACCGAAAAGGAAAAGAAGCCTTCCAATGTGAATGTCTCTCTCAGCGATGGTTCTTAAAGGTGTAAATTCAGGGAGATTTCTTCTTATTTTCTTATCTTGTCATGGGATAGGAAGTAGGGGAAATTTCATCATTCTCACCTTTCCCCACTTTATTAAAAACAAATCTAAAGATCTACTTTAACTCATAACTAGAAAAGCTTCATATTTCTAGTCTGAATTTAGGAAATCCCCAACTGTCTAAACAGGAAAGTAAGCATTGTGCCTACAAGCCAGTGATACAAAGCTCCTATAGCTGAAATCATTCTGGATTTCTCATCTGCTTCGAGCATCTGATTCCTCGAACAATCACAAGGATTAATTGCCTTTCAGCTGCTAACACTGTAGTAATTTCCCACAAAACCCACATCAATGATATTATGTTAAGACCTTGCTGTTGCTCGATTTAGAGCGTTTCTTACATAATTCACTGGTATTTACACACAGAATTTCCTTTAAAAAAACGCCTGCAGCATATTGCACATTGTTTGGGATTCAGCATTGTGACAGGTTTGAACAGCACAAGCATCTGCATTGTAAAATAAAACAAACAAAAGTGGGAAAAATCCCTGCTTAGGTTTAGCATCTAGAGGGGAAAGTCTTAATGCTATTCATTAATCTGCAAGGTTTTTTTGGTAGTTAATGCATAGCCAAGAACTGACTGTGGGCCTGAAGCAAAGTGGACTGTAGCTGTTACCCACAGCAACTAATCAGGTTTAATCTTCCATTATTTTACCTAAGTTGGACAATTGAATCTGAGATATAGGCACAATCCTAAATTTTGCAGTCCAAAATGAAAGGGGAGACATGCACCTTAAAAAATAATCTTCATTTTATAGTAACAAAATAATGCACTGACATGCCACCAGGTGCTGAGCAACTCTCACACATTTCACTCCTTAAGGGCTCTTGATGATTGAAACACATGAGGGTTGTTCAGCACCTGGTGGCATGTTGTTGCATCCTTTTGTTACTATAAAATGAAGAGTTTTTTTAAGGTGAGCATCTCCCCTCTTTCTTTTGGGAACTTATGGACTGCAAAAAAAAAATTAGGGCTGTGGCTATAGCACAATCACCGTATGCTGTTTAATCCCTTCAATAAAAGACATACCTCTCTATAATAGGAGACACATTCCTCTACAACAATTACTCACTCACAGGGGTAGTCAGAGGCAGGGGCAGACTGACCATTTGGGAACTCGGGCACTGCCCGAGGGCCTGGGGTCAGTAGGGGGCCCCATGAGATGCCCCTTGGTACCTTTTCATAGGCTTTTTTGAGTGTGGTTTGAGTGTGGGCAAGGAAACAGGGGCCCCATGATCCCCTATTGCCCGGGGGCCCCATGAGTTGTCAGTCCGCCCCTGGTCAGAGGTGTCCAAAATGTCTTCAGTAATGCAAGTATAGGCTTGTGTTGAGGTGCTCAGGGGTTGGGGAAGGTGTACACAAGCAATAGCCATAATGCTACAATATGTAGTGCTACCCCCTCGAGGGCCGATGAGTTTTTGAGTCCCCCTGAGCTTGCACAACCAGGGAACATGCTATTTCTTCATCCAAAGTCAGTAAAACACTCCTTGAACTTGGTTTTTGTTGTTTTATTAGGGGATTTAACTTGGATGGGGCCTAGGGGTATATGGGATGTCCAATGGAACTGTACAACTTTAGTGGACAAACTTCCTAGCAAAAAGGATAAAAATCAGCACACAGTCTTTGCAAGGAGCACTTCGTCCACTTAGTGAACCACCTCAGAACCCAGATGAAAATTTCCTCATCCACCTGGCTGTCTTGAGAGTGTCTCTGAGCAAGAGGTTCTGATATGTGCAAATTAAGTAGTGCCAGAGAGAACTAGTTGGCTATTGCACCTTTCCGCCCTCTCACTTCTTTGTACCAGGGGGTGTAGAATTACTCACACTGTCCTGTTCCTGTAGCTTAATGGATTGCAGCTGCTTTCAGGCCTTTTGCTGGGCTGGCTCCTTCCCTGCTGACAGGCTGTCTTTCCTATAGACTCTGGGACAGTGGAGGTCCTTTTGTCCAGTTTCAACCTGTAGGCAGGCCTCCCTCCTCTGGGGCCCCCTCCCAGGTTCCAGACCAACAGCACCTTCCTCACTCCATCTTCCACCTGACTCCAACAACTCCTACTGATCAGGCTCTCTCCTATTTAAAGGTTGTCCTAGCCACCATGCCAGGCCTCCTGTCTGGGGATTGGCTAGGTTCCCTCAAACATGCAAATTTAGGTGCTCTTTTCTAGAAAGTGCCAGTAGGTTCTAGAAGGGTGGGAAGGCTTCAGAAGCCCTAACCTATGGAGCCTTCCAGTCTAACCTGAAGTGGCCTCATGGACTCACTCCCAGGTTGACTCATACCTAGGCTTCTAGCAAGCCTCTAACTAATCCCAAAAACCTACTTAAACTAGAGGGTGCTACAAATACAAAATAAAACACCTGGATAGGTAGATTCCTGAATACCCAGTATTTACATATTACTAGTGTGTACCACAGATTCAAGGTAAAAGAAACCATGTATGTACGGGGGGGGGGGGAGGGAGCAGGTGTGAGTGTGTTGAATGAGGTATGGATGGTTTTGTTTTTCTTATTGTTCTATTTATCTTTTCATTTGTCTGTACCCAGGTGTGCCATTGTACCCACATCTTATGTTGCCACCTCATAGATGTCACCTTCTCATTTTTATGTTATTGATGGGTATATTTCCCCGAGAGTCTGGCAGGGCTCGTTGGCCCCATGGGCTTTTGTATTTTCTATATTTCTCATGAGAAAATTTAAAATAAAAAAAAAAAATGTGTACTGAGGGGATATATGGGCTGCCATTACTGACCTTGCCTTTGGAAAATCCCACTTTCCTAGCCATCATGCTGGTCTCTTTTGAGACTCTTTAAGTCACTGAGCTGAATGAATACAAACAGGGATTCATGACCTCACCCTGATTTTTTTTTCTCCCTATTTGTTCTGGGTAAGTATGGAAGTCATCAGCAGCTAAACAATTAGCATTTTTAGAAGGAGATCAGCAATGGCAGTCTTCCTATGTCTTTTAGCTCAGGTTTCCTTTAACCACTTTCTACCTGCAGTCTGTATATTAAAGTGGTTGTAAAACGCTGAAATAAAAAATGAACAAAGCATATTCTCATATAAAGTATACTTGCATCATTCCATTGTACCTAGTGGATCCTGGCTGCTTTTTTCTTCCTCTACAATCTGCATCTATCGCTTCTCTCAGTTTTCCCTAATACAAGAAACTCTATGGTGACCTCCACCACCACCACCTTTTCCCAAGCACCTCAGATGTGCATGTTTCTCTATGAGACTGTGTAGAGGTAGGTGTGTCCATCTCCTCCACCCAGGTTTCAGATTACCCTTAGCTCTGAGCTCTGTCCTGTGCAGTGTGTGGCATCAGATTCCCACCCCCTTCCTCCTGAAAGTTGAGAAATAACACCTGATCTGTATAATTTGAAAGGCTGTGAAGAAGAGAGAGTTTCAGATAGACAGGTACAGGTTATGTGGGAGAATTTGCTTCATCACTATGTATCACCTGACGTTTGTCACTTGATTGTGTTTATTATCACTTTAACATTCCCCGCCATAATGCCATACCAAAGACACATTAATAAACATTCTCCCCTATGACAGCCAGAAGCTCATTGACAATCAAGGGTCCAATCAAGTGGTTCCTGGTCATGTGCTCATTAAGTCAGCTCTGAAAGCAAGTAAGTGTTATTCTGTAGTACTCTGTACATCAGTGTTCATCTATAGTGTCGTCTTTTTAGTAGTGTAACTATTAGAGATTCTGTATATAGCCCTACTGAACAGATACAGTCACCATGTATTTATCTGCTGCCTTTCTGTTGAAAGGAAACAGGAACTTTATTCAGGAAGAAGACATAGCGTATAGTCATAGGTGCAGCTACAAACGTATAAGCACTGCCATCCACTGGTTGAAGAATATATGATGTAGTTGTTGCACAAAATGCATAAACATTGTATGCCAACAGTAACTATTACATAATCATTAAAAAATAGAAATATATATATATATAAACAGATATTTTTTTTTCAGTTTTACACATTTGTTAGCAGATAAATGTAGCACCCCCTAGTGCCAGATGGGATTTTTTGTGAGCTAGAGGCTTGTTAGAAGCCTGGGTTGAGTCAGCCTGGAAGTGAGGTAGCGGGTTCACCTCAGGACAGGCTGGGAGGATCTACAGGTCAGGGCTTCTGGAGCCCTCCCACCCTTCCAGAAACATCTGGTACTTTCTGGAAGATGGGTGGAGGAGGTGAGGAGGCCCAGATTTGCGTCTTTAGGGGAACTTGGTTAATCCACAGGCAGGAGGCCAGGTATGGTAGCCAATGCCAACCCTTAAAGAGGACAGAGACTGTGCAGCAGGCTGGAAGGTGGAAGATGGACTGAAGGAAGGTGCTGAAGAGTGGAGCCTGGGAAGGGAGCCTACCTACAGGCTGGTTGCTGGACAGAAGGATCTCCACTGTGCCAAGTCTCCCAAAGAGGACAATCCTGTCAGCCCAGCATAAAGCCTGAAAGCAGCTGAAACCCACCATCTAATTGGACAGGACATCACAGTGTGAGTACTTCTACACCCCCTGGACCAGATAAAGGGAGAGGGTGGTCAGGTGCAAGACCCATCTGGGACTACTTAAGTGGCAGATCCTGGAATCCCTTGCCCATGGATACCCTTAGCGCAGCCGGGTGAAGGAGGAAGGATTCATCTGGGGTCTAAGGAGGTACATCAAGGGGACTTTAGTGCTCCTTAAAGAGACAGTGCTGTTTTTTTCTGATCCACAATTTTTGTGCAGTGTATAGTGCAGTGTACAGTTTGCTAAGAAGTTTGTCCTCAAGATTGCAGTTTCTTGGGCATTCCATATACCCCTAGACTCTACCCGAGTTGTTAGTCCTTCAATAAAAAAACAACAAAAAACAGCTGAAGGACAGTTTTACTGGCTCTGTGTGTGACGATGGGGAAAATGCGTGATGCCTGGCCATGCAGAGCTTAAGGGGGCCCCAATCAAATTCAGCAGCCCTTAAGGGGGTGAACGCTACATAAGAATAACAGAACAGGGATTTTTTCTAGTTTCTTAAAACAGTGTACCAAATAAAACGTTATATGTACTTGAAAAAAATATGTATAATAATATTTAGTCATGCAAATTTGCATAGAGTTATTACATGAAACAACACATGCTGCAAAACGTGGCCTAGACATCCCTGATCCCTATCATAGAGTACATAATGTACAGTAGCTAACTGGTAAAATACATGACACAAAGCAGAAACATAACTGAAAGCTAAGCTAAGCTTTCTAACTGATATAAAATTAGGGTGCTATCTATGTATAGCCTTTTGTAAATAAATAGGCACCTAGGTAATTAGCTCTCAAAGATTACATCTTGTAGACCTTATCTTTGAAGTACAGTTTTTGTGTGACCCCTTCATAGTGATACCATCTAATTTCTAAAGCCTGTATACGGGTTTTCTATTTCATTCAACCCAGCAGTCTGAACAAAAAAAAAACTGAGGAGCTCGCTGTACTAACTATGCAATGTCATACAGCGATGTACAACGATCTCCCCTATATGTTCTGACAGGGGAACTGCCACCCTCACCATACCGATCAGTTGCTGTTTTTCCAACATGCCCATTCAATAGAAGCCAGGTGTTCAGCTGGCTTCTGTCGGACAGGCTGCTGTACACACGGGATGAAGTTTGGCTGGATTCTGGTGAACTGGCTGATACCAGTTGATATTTGGCCTGTGTGTGTACCAGGCTTAAGCTACCCTGTATTTTTATTTATTTCAGGTACTTATATAAATCCATCAATTTACACAGCACTTTACATATATATTGTACATTCACATCAGTCCCTAACCCTCAAGGGGTGTACAATCTAAAGTCCCTAACTTACATTCATACATACACATACTAGGGCCAATTTAGACAGGAGCCAATTAACCTACCAGCATATCTTTGGAATGTGGGAGGAGACTCACGCAGGCACAGGGAGAACATGCAAACTCCAGGCAGGTGGTGCCTTGGTTGGGATTTGAACCAATGACCCTAGTGCTGCCAGGCAAAAGTGCTATCCATTTAGCCTCCGTGCTGCCTATTATGAGACCCCTACATTCAGCTACACCCCAGAGGTGTTTTGAGCTATACCAATGTGGTCAGTAGTCAGGAAACATGGAATTACCACTCAGGAGAACATATTTTATCAGCTTGATATGTTCACAGCAATCTACCATGGGAATAGCAAGATATACAAGCCAAAACCTTACAAACGATAACACAGCCCGGTTATTTAGACACAACAATATTCTACAAGCTTTCAGCACATCAAAGGAGCTCATTTTGCTGCAATACATAATTTTATTGGACAGATGGAATTCAACCTTGAAACCCTCAAAACACTTAAACCTAGATTATCTAAAGTTTAAAACAGTAAAAAGTAATTACATGCTCAAATCCTGATCCCCGTGCTGTTAGCATTCTTTACGGGGTTTTTTCCTGACTAGTTGGTCCAATATGAATCAAAACGATTTGACAAAGTTCAAAGGTGGGATAAACTGAATGCAAAGAAAGTACTTCCTTTTGAAGTCTTAATGTTTCCGATATCACACACTTTTAATGAGATGAATAACAAGCTGTGAAAATAATAGTAGAGCCATCAATAATCAGCCAGTAAAATGGGACAGCTGATTGTCAGCTCTCCTCCTGCAAGCACTGAAACACAGAGATGAATCACTGAGAGGGCTTATACAGATCAGTAGGGCAAGCTTTTGATATAGACAAGGTGTTGAGAGCATTGTGATCAAGTATTGTATGCACCACTGAATATTGCAGTGAATGATCCTTGTCTTTACAGGAACAGAGATCAAAACCATAACCTTAATCTAGGATGGTGATCTGATAAGAAGCTCATTTGTATAAACCTTAGAGGAAAAAGATTAATTCTGAAAGTGTAAACTGAAAATCTAAGTGTACTTTAAAAATAAATTATAGGATATTTTCAGTGAATTCATATTATAGTATGTAATTTTTATGACTTTCATATTTGTGGCCACTAGAGGGAGCTCTTGTTGGCTCTGTTCAATTATTCTCTGTATGTAAATACCTAACAATGAACTTCACTTATTTTATCCCTTTAGGTCTGATCATATCCCATTTTATATTGGCTATAGTTTAGTTATAGTTTTAGTCAAGGTTGTATCACCCATGAGGTCACTTTAGGCGGACACCTTAGGTGGTGCCCATGGATGCATGGTTGGGTGTGGCACTGAGGCCAATGACCAACCAATGACACTGTGTGGCCTGCGTTGCCTGTGCCTCAGCAATCAATAACAGAGTCAGTAAAAATGGCCATCTCATGGAGCAAGCAGTGATGCAATAACATATGGATTGATTCTGCCAGAAATCCAGTGAATTGGTAACTTCTTCTGCAGGGGCAGACTGACCATTTAGGCCCTCGGGCATAGCCCAAGTGCCCGGGGTCAGTAGGGGGCCCCATGAGATGCCTCTGGTACCTTTCATAGGCTTTTTTCGGTGTGGTTTGAGTGTGGGCGAGGACACAGGGGCCCCATGAGTTGTCAGTCCGCCCCTGTTCCTGTGTTTTCTGCCTTTCTGCACTGTTATCCGTTATCATTGTTCCCAGTTGTCCCGTCGTTCCCAGCTTTCTCCACCATGTTATGGAGGTGAGGAGTGGAAGGTTTTCTGTAGGACTAACACACTTCCTGTCTAGAGTGACAATACTTTTCATACATACAGTACAGTAAGTGGATGTTGTCATCCTAGGACATAAAATGGGTTACTGGCAGGATTACCAGGTGAAAATAAAGGAGAAAGGCCTAAAAAAAAGGATAGGTAAGCTGCAATATTTGACATGCTTTTCTTGGTTTTAGATACATTTTATCAACTGTTCATTAAAGATATCAGTGACGGAGGCAGTGCATTACTAAATGCACTGATATCAGTGACGGAGGCAGTGCATTACTAAATGCACTGATATCAGTCACAGAGGCAGTGCATTACTAAATAAGGTAGTTCATTACCACATGAGAACTGAGTAATAAAGAATGTTCACATACAATCAGTCACATGCAAGCAAAACAGAACATTGTTCATTTGTTTTCCTTGAAATGATTGGGTGTTCAAAATCAACAAAGGCTCACTTTGTCTACTAACATTCATTTTGCAAATTCAGTAGTCTGCCCACAGCATCAGGTTAACTAGTTGCATTAATTATGGCATCCTTGGCAAAGCAAATAGACTGCACTACGTATTTTAAAGTGTCCTCACAGGCAATAGAAAGTGAAGCCTCCCCAGAATGAATTATGTGCCCCTTCCAGGATTTCCCAGTTGACCAGCAAAACCAGTGCTTTACTTTAAAGGAGCTCTGTCATAAAAAATATTGTATTCTAATACTCATATATTTTTCTCCACATTTACATGCAGACATGCTGCTCAGCAAAAGTAAAAATGACAGGTGTTAGAAAGAAACCATAATGTCAGGGAGTGCTTACAACTGCCCAAGATCCCCTGGTAGTGTTATGGCTTGTCCCATCCTCTGTCACTGTCAGTATATGTTCATCTCAGTGTGGTTGGCAAGTTATTGTAAAGCAAAATAAAATAAATGCATATGAAAGTTTATTGCTTATGCGATCCCCTGCGGTGCATTAACCTATGATATGTTATATGTTGGGCAGCACAGTGGCTAAAGGGTTAGCACCTCCGCCTGGCAGTACTATAGTCGTTGGCTCGAATCCCAACCGTAGCACCACCTGCCTGGAGTTTGCATGTTCTCCCTGTGCCTGCGTGGGTTTTCTCCAGGTACTCTGCTTTCCTCCCACAGTCCAAAGACATGCTGGTAGGTTAATTGGATCCTGTCTAAATTGGCCCTAGTATGTGTATGTATGAATGTAAATTAGGGACCCTAGATTGTACACCCCTTGAGGGTTAGGCACTGATGTGAATGTACAATATATACATGTAAAGCGCTGTGTAAATTGACAGTGCTTTATAAGTACCTGTAATAAATAAATATAATAATAAACAATACACCCCCACAGATCAAAAAATGAACACAACCCATATTTAACAGCTCAATACTCACCAGAAGCCAGGGAAAGTAAAAAGGTCTGCAGTACTTTTAGCTGTGCCAACTGACACAGCCTGGTCTGGACAGATGTGGAGTGTTGCAGACCGAGACTACATATTCCACCCACCAAAAGTCTTTGGTCTCCAAAGAAGCAACAGGGACACAGCAGATACTACCAAACATTACCTGAAAAATTATACAATGCTTTAGCAACCAACTAAACAAGCCTTCTTTGAAATTAACTCATCTTATCACACATTTGCTATCAAACAGCCAAAGGGACCTCCCACCAAGGTATGTCAGAAGGCAAACCAGGGTCTCTGTTAACTATAGCCATAGTAGACAGTACTGGCATCTCCGTAGATTCTCAGGCTGTAGACACGGGTTTATTTACTAAAGCTGGAGAGTGCAAAATCAGGCTCACTTCTGCATTGAAACCAATAAGCGTCTAACCTCAGCTTGTTCGATTAAGTTTAGGCAATAAAACCTAGAAGCTGATTAGTTGCTATGCAGAAGTGATCCTGATTTTGTACTCTCCAGCTTTAGTAAATAACCCCCACTGTCTCTTACGAACTGTGACCTAAAGAATCAAAGTCAGTCTTATTGAACTTTGTGCTCTCTGTTCTTTGGGTTCTGATAGACCATCTTCAGGGGATCTTCCTCAGTTTCTGTAGTAGAGGTAGACAGAATGGCATCCATTGACAACAAGTCAGCACAGACATCTTTTTCCTTACTGTCATCCTTCTTTTCTTTGTTCAGCAGAGAATACTGTAAACCCGACCTTATCTCAAAGATGTTGCCCTTGTTGAGGGACAATTTATTCTGCTGAGACATCCAGACAGCCTTGACTGTGTTTTAGAAGGTCAGTGTGAAATGCTGGAAATTTGAAGTAATGATGATTCCCACTGACTTTGTGTAGAGCAGCTCCCATAACACCTGTAGGATTTCTTTTAAAACACCCAGTGCAGATCTCTTTCTAGGGCATTGAGTTCTAAAGTGTCCAACCTTCCCACAGTTGCAACATCTCTTTCCAGAAGAGGGCAGTACAGCATCTGTCTCAGTTTCTTTTGATGCTTTCTTCTCTGTGGCCAAAGCAAGCAGCATTTTCTGCACATCGGTATGATATTTTTTATACCTGCCTGAGTCTCCACCACCTGCATCACTGTCTTATGCATCTCCTGGGAATAAACCACTTGAGCCAGCAGATTTTGCATCCCAGGTTTAGATGGCACCCAACTTGTGGTCTCCCTCAACATTTTGACATCCGATTCAGGAGTTGACTCATTGTCATCTTCATCTGGAAAAGGCTCTCCCACCACAGCAGGGAATGTCAGAACCACCACAGCAGGGAATGTCCTACAGGGATTAAATCCTGATTCAGGAAATCTCAAGTACCCACCATTACTTCAGGTTTTCAGTTAAAGCAAAATGGGTTCTAGGGGCTGAGTTCCCCTTAAAACCTGTCATACCTGAACTTGATCCACCATCCTTGGGTCTATGCATTTTTTTAGCAACAGTTGATGCATCATCTTGTCGAGATGACACATGTATTCAGACAACTTCTCCCCTGTCACAACAACTACACAATAACAGTGCCACACTTTTCTCATACCATAATTAAAACCACACAAACGTGACTTGAAATATTTTCTCCAATATAACTGGATCAGTGAAAAATACTACAAACAATATGCCAAAATCGATTGAAATAGTTCAGTCAAACACGAATCATAATCCTATCAAATGAGAATCTTTTGCATCAATATTCCTAACTTCTTTTTTCATGTATAGTGCACCTCCACCATCAATAACACCAGCTGTGCCCTCACCTGAAATGTTTGACCTCACAACTAAGTTTGGTCAAAAATAGCTTGCATCTTCTAGGTGGACATACAGTATAATGATGGTGTAACATCTATTGAAATCCTCCTTCTGTGTTGGTTCAGTTGCTTCTTGTAACTCCTTTTCCACTCAGCATGCATACAGAAAATATATAGGAAGACCAATAGCGCTTTACTGCTTAAAAACTTTAATTTTATTAAAATATAAATAAGTACCTCACATGATACAGGTGCTCCATTGTACCTAATAATATACTCATGAATTGCATACAGCTGACACCATCTGGCAATGGGAAGCACCCTTTGTATTCCCCTCCGCAATCTCTCTCTGGAGTGGGTCAGCTGACTGCGAGTGCCATGATGTCACCAAGCCCCTCCCCTACATGTTACATCACAGGGTCATGTGGCTTCCTCAGGGGGATCTGATTGGACGTCACTCCACTCCCTTCTTCTATATAATGTAACCCATGGTCATTTTACTGTGGACCTTCCCTGCCCTCCCGCAATTACTCCCAATGACCCCCAACAGAAACTCATGGATAAACCCATATTATCAAAAATACCCCATCTGCTGACTAATAATTCAGGGAATGTATAACCCCTAGTGCCATATACATTATACATTATTTAAAAGCCACATATTTATAAAAAACCATACAGTATTAAAAAATAATTACATTATAAACTGTTATTGTGTAGTTGTTGTTATGCAGCATATTTATATGAGTATGTGTAGGTGTGGGCGGTTTTTTGTTTTTGTTTTTCTATATTGAGCTAGTATTCCTATTTCCATATAACTGCTTGTGGGTTTATATTTCATAGTTTCTCCCCTGTCACAGCCTAGCCTGAGTTGATGTGGCTGGGGAGCACCGCAGGCCAGGGCTACGCATTTTGGGCTTATTTCTTGCTGTGTCCTTCTAGCTAGGTTTCCCTTCATTTCCGATCTTGAAAAAAACAACAGGAATTTATAAGAAATCTTGTAGAAGAGAGCAGAATTCCCAGTTCTGTTGATTTCCATCAACCAATAATGTTTTTTTTTTAATTTTCTTTACACCTGGTTGTGTATTCTTTACAGTGAAGCTAAACTCTGCAGAAAATGAGTTCAACTGCACTTGCAAAGTGCACAGTCTATTTGTCTTTAGTAAACCTGTCAGGGCTCCGGGGTGTGACCAGAGGTGTGTGACTGACGCAGGGAAACGCAGACTTCAGATATGTTATAAACAATGTAATTTATTAACACTAACCATACAAACATAAACGCAGTGCAATACTAAAACATAACACAGTGCAAACAAACCAACCAACCCCCCACAGATAACAGTACATACAATGCAAGCGTCGTCAGGCAGGCCGGGTCAATATCAGTCGGGCAGGTAGGTACAGGGGGAGCAAGCGGAGAATGGTCGGGGTCACAGGCCAGGTTCAGCAGGTAGCGGGCAGCGTGGTACAGAGGGTCAGGCAGAGGAGAATGGTCAGCAGAGAATCAGACAGGAACAGAGAGCAGGAACAGGATACAGGGCCCAAGAGAAACACAACACCAAGGCAGAGTCTGCAGGTCTGAATGTCCCTTAAATACATCAGTATAATTAGTTCCAGGTGTTTGACTGGCTGCAAGGTTGAGTCTCTGATTGCTGGGAGCACCCGCTGGCCAGCCCTGGTACTGCAGCTCATAAGGCAGGTGAGTCCCACTATTGCTGGCCAGTCCATTCCTGACAGTACCCCCCCCTCAAGGAGCGGCCTCAGGACGCTCCAAACAGTCCTAGCTGGGCAAAATGTTCCACCTCCCGGTCTGGTAACTGGCGGGATATCAAAGACTGGCACACCGGGCAGGACTCCGGGCAGCGGCACACCGGGCAGAGGCACATCGGGCAGGACTCCGGGCAGAGGTACATCGGGCTGGACTCCGGGCAGAGGTACATCGGGCTGGACTCCGGGCAGAGGCACATCGGGCTGGACTCCGGGCAGAGGCACATCGGGCTAGACTCCGGGCAGAGGCACATCGGGCTGGACTCCGGGCAGAGGCACATCGGGCAGAGGCACACCGGGCAGAGGCACACCGGGCAGGACTCCGGGCAGAGGCACATCAGGCAGGACTCCGGGCAGAGGCACATCGGGCAGGACTCCGGGCAGAGGCACATCGGATTACCAGGCGAAGCAGCAGGCAGCGGGCCACCAGGCGGAGCAGCAGGCACCGGGCCCCCAGGAAGAGCAGCAGGCACCGGGCCCCCAGGAGGAGCAGCAGGCAGCGGGCCCCCCCGGGCGGAGCAGCAGGCACCGGGCCCCCCGGCGGGGCAACAGGCACCCGGGCCCCCGGGCGGGGCGGCGGCGCCGGGCCCCCAGGCGGGGCGACAGGCATCGGGCCCCCAGGTGGGGCGACAGGCATCGGGCCCCCAGGTGGAGCGGCGGGTGCCGGACCCCCAGATGGAGCGACGGGTCTCGGGCCCTCAGGCGGAGCGGCGGGCGCCGGACCCCCAGGCGGAGCGAACAGGTCTCGGGGCCCTCAGGCGGAGCGGCGGGCGCCGGACCCCCAGGCGGAGCGACAGGTCTCGGGCCCTCAGGCGGAGCGACAGGTCTCAGGCCCCCAGGCGGGGCGGCGGGCGCCGGACCCCCAGGTGGAGCGACAGGTCTCGGGCCCTCAGGCGGAGTGGCGGGTGGGGGACCCCCAGGCGGAGCGACAGGTCTCGGGCCCTCAGGCGGAGCGGCGGGCGCCGGACCCCCAGGCGAAGCGACAGGTCTCGGGCCCTCAGGCGGAGCGGCGGGTGCCGGACCCCCAGGTGGAGCGACAGGTCTCGGGCCCTCAGGCGGAGCGACAGGTCTCGGGCCCTCAGGCGGAGCGGCGGGTGCCGGACCCCCAGGTGGAGCGACAGGTCTCGGGCCCTCAGGCGGAGCGACAGGTCTCAGGCCCCCAGGCGGGCGGCGGGCGCCGGACCCCCAGGTGGAGCGACAGGTCTCGGGCCCCCAGGCGAAGCGGCGGGCACCGAGTCACCAGGCACGACAGTGGGCTCCGAGTCAACTGGCATGACCGCTGGCACTGGGTCAGACATTGGATCGTCTGGCTGGACAGCGGGCATCGGGTCACCAGGCATCAGGTCATTTGGCTCGACAGCTGGCACCGGCGTCATCTGGCAAGGCAGTGGGCTCCGAGTCAACTGGCATGACCGCGGGGCACTGGGAGCAGACATTGAATCGTCTGGCTGGGTCGACAGCGGGCATCGGGTCACCAGGCATCAGGTCATTTGGCTCGACAGCGGGCACCGCGTCATCTGGCAAGGCAGTGGGCACTCCGAGTCAACAGGCACGACAGTGGGCACCGGGTCATCAGGTACCGGATTGTCTGGCTCGACAGCGGGCATCGGGTCACCAGGTATGACAGCGGGCACTGGGTCACCAGGCATCAGGTCATTTGGCTCGACAGCGGGCACCGCGTCATCTGGCAAGGCAGTGGGCTCCGAGTCAACTGGTATGACCGCGGGCACTGGGTCAGACATTGGATCGTCTGACTGGACAGCGGGCATCGGGTCACCAGGCATCAGGTCATTTGGCTCGACAGCGGGCACCGCGTCATCTGGCGAGGCAGTGGGCTCCGAGTCAACAGGCACGACACAGTGGGCACCGAGTCAACTGGCCTAATAGGATCGTCAGGCTGGATCAGTTCATCATGCTGGGTAGAGGCATCAGGCTGAATGCCGGCGTCCGGGCTGAGTAGAGGCTTCAGGCTGAGTAGAGGCTTCAGGCCGAGTAGAGGCTTCAGGTCCGAGTAGAGGCTTCAGGCCGAGTAGAGGCATTGCAGGCCGAGTAGAGGCTTCAGGCCGAGTAGTAGAGGCATCAGGCCGAGTAGAGGCTTCAAGCCGAGTAGAGGCTTCAGGCCGAGTAGAGGGTTCAGGCCGAGTAGAGGCATCAGGCCGAGTAGAGGCTTCAGGGGCATCGAGTAGAGGCATCAGGCCGAGTAGAGGCTTCAGGCCGAAGAGAGGCATCAGGCTGCGTACAGGCATCAGGCTGAGTAGAGGCATCAGGCTGAGTACAGGCATCAGGCTGAGTACAGGCATCAGGCTGAGTAGAGGCTTCAGGCTGAAGAGAGGCAATCAGGCTGCGTACAGGCATCAGGCCGAGTAGAGGG